TCCACATGGCAATGACTAAAATTAGATCCATATCTTTCACCGTGCACTAAACTAAGATTGAAATGGATCAGAGAATTAAATATTAAAACAAAAACGTTAAATCTGCTGGAAGGTGGAATAGATAGAACTCTTGAAAACATTGGTTTAGGCAAAGAGAGTATGAAAAAGAAAACAATCGCCCAGGAACTATCACAAAGAATCAACAGCTGGGACTCACTAAAAAAGCTTTTGCACAGGAAGAGAAACCACCAACAGAGTGAAGAGACAATCCACAGTGTGGGAAAATTTTTTGCCAGCTGTTCCTCAAAGGACTACTACCTAGAATACACAAAGAACTCCTATCAAGAATACACAAAGAACTAAAAAAAAATCAGACCTCCCAAATTCAAAGACCCAATCCAAAAATGGGCATCTGAGATGAATACACACTTCTCAGATGAAGAAGTACAAACAGCCAACAAAGATATGGAAAAATGTTCAATGTCACTGGTCATTTGAGAGATGCAAATTAAAATAATCCTGAGATTCCATCTCACCCCAGAAAGAGTGGCTGTCATCAAGAAATCAACCAGTAACAAATGCTGGAGGGGCTGTGGGGAAAAAGGAACCTTTTTTACTGTTGGTGGGAGTATAGACTGATGCAACCACTGTGGAAATCAGTGGGGGAGATTCCTCAAAAAACCAGAACTAGAGGTTCCATTTGACCCAGCTGTTCCCCTTCTTGGGATTTTCTGAAAGAATTAAAAGCATCATAGGACAATGATATATGCACACTCATGTTTATAGCAGCACAATTTGTGATAGCCAAATCTTGGAAACCTAAATGCCCAACTGGTGAGTAGATAAATAAGATGTGGTTTTTTTTTTAATGCCCAAAGAAGGATAAGCTCAAGACATTCCTAGGTAAGTGGATGTACCTTGAGACCATACTCTAAAGTGAAATAAATCAGACACACAGGTGTAAATACTGAGTTGTTTGTCTGGTGTGAGAAACTGAAAGTGTAAATGAGGACCAAAATGTATAATAGGTATTGTGAAATAGGAGGAAAATGTTCAAATGGGGAGGGAAACAGGGGAGGAGGGAGGAGGAAAGGAAAAAAGGGAAAAGTAAAAAAAAGATAAAAGAAGGAAATAATAAAACAAAGTTTATGTAAATGGGGAGGGGAGGAGGGGTTGAAGGGAGGGTAGGGAATTGGAACAAAAAGGAGACAAGTTATACCATGTACAGGTACAAATTCTCTATGATGAATGCATTCATTATGTATATCTAAAATGTACCAATAAAATCTGACTGGAAAAGAACAAACAAACAAACAAAACCACTCTCGAAGATACAAAACCTTTTGTGCTCCAAGAAACCCAGCAAAACGTGACTGTACAACAACCCATGGTCACTGTGGGAAGGTTAAAGTGTTCTCCCTGACCAAGACTGCCTGTGTCTCCAATCACACTGTCTGAAATTCTCAGAAGACACCAGCTAAACACTGTTTAGCTGCTTTTTAAAAAACAGGTAGTATAAGAATTAGAAAAAAATAGATGGCTCTTTAGTAAGATAGATCAGATGCAAACACTCCATCACACTTGACCTTGAGCTTTCTTTTCCTGGTGACACCAAGAAGAGAGATGGTGACCTGAATGTGGGTGGAAATCAAGGGATTTCTTTTTCTGTTGCACACACTAAGGTGAGTCAGGGTGGTTTTGCTATAAGTAACAGACACTCCAACTCCTAATGACCTAAATAACCCAGCGATTCTACTCTGAGGTATACATCCAGGAGACAGGAACAAATATGACCATACAAAAACTTGTACATGAATGCATATAGCAGCATTTCTCATGACAGACAGAAAGTGGAAATCATTAAAAGTCTACCATCTAATGAGTAGCAAAACGCACATAGGAATATAAAATAGAAGAAGTGCTGATACATGCTACAATACTGACAAAACTTGAAAACCTTAGGCCAAGAGAAGAAATCAACTCACAAATTTTAATTTATTACATGATTCCAGTTTGAAATATTAACAGTAAGAGGGCAGGGGAGATAGGTCAGCGGCATAAGTGCCTGCCTGGCAAGCGCAAGGTCCTGAATTTGAGTCTTGGTACCAAAAAAACAAAAAACAAAAAACAAATATTCACACCAAGAAATTAGGGACAGGAATCTGTCCCTATGGAGTGGATGAGAGTGAATGAGAAGGTTGGGGAAGAGTAGATAAAGTGTACGTGATGTTTCATTTAGAGGGGGTAAGAGTATCCTCAAATGACTTGTGGAGGTGGTCACACAAATCTGTCAATATTGTAAAAATCACTCTATGGTATACTTGTAATAAATAAATTATATAGTATGTGATCTTTTAAAATACAGTGGTCTCCAAATATCCTTACTTGAATGACAGAGGCATTGATTTCTTCAGCAACAGCAAATCTAGATGAGATCAGTTTAGCAGTTGTTGAATTCAGCAGTCTGTCACTGAGGACCTCAGCTCTCCTCATCTGCTGACTCTCCTTCCTCAGCTAGCTGGTCTCATGATTCTGTGGCAGTGGCCATAGCTTCAGACATTCTGGAGGCAGAAAAGGGAGAGCTCCTTTATTATATCCTTTTATTTTAGGAAGAAAAGCTTTCCCTGGGAGCCCTCATGCTAACCACCCTCATATCTTCCTGACGAAGACTGGGGTCCTCCCAACACTAAACCAGGCCCCAGCAAGGGCTGCAGCCACCATGTCTGGTTCAGAGCAATCAAGTTGAACTGAGAGTCCTCATGGGGAGAGGCTGAACACTGGAATTTAACCATGGCTCTATCAGTGTGAAAGAAGATGAGCATGGGAACCATGCTGGCAGCTGCCCCACTGCAGAAAGAGTCGAGAATTTTCTTGCAGGAAGAATGGCATCAGAGTACACTTTGAATTTGTACCTACCTCTATCATGTATCTAACTACTCACCTACCCACTTACATACATGTTTCGTCATCTATCTCCTTACCTACCCACCTATCTATGTACATGTACACATGCATCTACACACACACACACATACACGCACAGAGGTCTAAAATGTTTTTAAATAAGTGGTGTGGGATTTACCTCTTATTTTAATTGCAGAGATTGACATTTTCGTCAAGTATCCCCAGGGACACTTGGGAGGATTAGGGTGAGTGTTCCTGGCGGGAAGCTGGGCCAGCCGGCACTCTGTAGGCCTTGGAGAGACAGTTTGGAGCTGTGCAGTTTTTTCTACCCTTTGTTCTGGTGGAAGTGCTGGCTACCAGGAGCAGGCCAACAGGAGGGAGGAGCTGGCTGGGGTCGTGTCGGAGCGAGGGCACACCCTTGATCTTGGCATTGCCCGACTCTCTAAAGTTTCCAGTCCCGATCTTGCCTTTGCCAACATTGGCAAACGGTACGTGCAAGCCGCCCTGGTCACATGTGGTTGTGTTTAACTCTATAGAACTTTGAACCAACCTCAAGCTGCGCCAGTGAAGAGATCAAAGTCAATAAAGTGAATGTATTTTATAAGTGGTGAACTTTTGTGAAAAAACAAAGTTCATTTCAGCTTCGGCCAAGGGGAGCGTTGTGTTTTGACTGATGCATAGAACAAACAAAAGAAGGTTGTTTCTCCTGTGTGTTATTTGGAGTTTTTTTTCTCAAGATTGTTTATTACAGCCCATACTTTAAAATAAACACAGAAAACTCTCGTGTTCTTTCTGTAAACACGTTTGAGTGCTTTGAAGCCAAGGATAATGAATATGATAACAGATCACTGTTTATCCTCTCCTGGGTTCCGTGTTTAGTTAGCTGTGTCTTGAAGTCTTTTAACCTCTTTCACCCTGGAGAGAGATTTTCAGAATTGACTGTTAGATCAAGAGAGAGGAGAAGGCCTCAGGAATTAGCATCTATGCTGATTCAAATGTCTCCACAACCCCGGTCCTTTCCCCAGAGGGCTCTTTTTTCCTGTCCCCACACCCCGAGTCCTCCCACCTGCGGGACACGCTGGGCTCCTTTCTGGCCTGTCTGCCCAGTGATGTGCTAGTAAACCTTGAAACTTTGGCACTGAGGGTCACGAGCCCTAATTGATTAGCACTTGCTGATAGCTGGGGTCAATATCAAGCTACCCACCACCCACCGGGGTGCACAGAGCCGGATGCAGAGCTGGCCCAGGTGGGGCTGAAGTCACCCCCACATCACGGCCTCCATCCCTGCCCTCCTTGGCCAACTTTTCCCTCCTGGGGCTGGCAGTTAGCAGACAACTTCACTTCAGTAAATATTTACAAGTGGCAGTTTCCCCTGCTCTGGGGAAACTTTCCTTCTTTTTCTTTTTTTTTAGGGTCCCCTCACCTGGCTCTGTAAAGATACCAGCTCGCATTTTCTTTGCTCCCCACCAGGCGGTGGGCCGTGGGGCTATTTCGGTCACTTCCTTTGGACAGTTCCTTGAATTGTTCGGATGGCATTGTATGATTCACAGAGCCCGACTTCCTTTCTCCCCAGGCAGCTGGGAAAGTCAGGCTCCCTTTATATTTTCCTTTGTTAACTGATGTATCCTGAAGTCATGCCCGGCTGGGCAGGGCTGTGAGCCTGGGCCTACGGTGTTCTCCTCTTGTGTGTCAGAGACGCTCTTTGGTGCATCTTGGCAGGAGGCTCGGTTGTTGGGGTGATGAGGAGCTTAGCCCCAAGATAGCTTCCAGGATTCAAGGTCCAGGAGGGTGAGTAGGGCACCCAGCTTTGCCATAGTGCTGGAGGAAGCCCCCTATTCAAGATGATGGGAGTTTTGTCCAAGCACATAAACATGATGTTTTAGAAGATGGAAGTTTAAAGAGTGCCTCACCAAGAGGCAGGAAACTGTCATTCCCAGGACATTTATGGGGCCGAGCAGCCCCTGCAGACCCAGGCGGGGCCGGAAGGGTGGGATCCCGCCCAGCAGCCTGATGTCTAGGGGCCTCATCTTTCCAGGACTGACTCAAATGGGCCCAAACCCTTCAGAGAAAACGGCCTTAGAAATTATAGGCAGCTTTGCTTTATTATTATTGTGTGGACCCAGATATCCCGCAGCTCTCCTGCTGAGGCGAAAAGTGGAGTGAGAGGTGAGCAGGAGAAGCCCCGGGCTTCCTCCCGACCTGCCACCCTGTCGCTGCTTCTGCACCTCGCTCCTGCTTGCACCCGCGTAGCCAGAAGGAGAGGGAGAGAGCCCGCACAAGTTAGGACGATGGTTTCATCTTGGTCTTGTCTCCCCTTGCTGCCTTCATCAATAGCATTTTTATTCCTGATACTGGCAATAACAATGCTGCAAAGAATCATCGTTGACATTTTACAATAGATCAACTATTGTGCAAATCACCCCGTACCTCTCACCTTGTGTGCCTTCTACGTTAACCCAGCGGATTATGTATTTCATTGTTCTATACCCGGGGAGACTGAGTTTCAGAGACAGTGATTAATCTGCTCTGGGTTACATCATTGATAAGTAACTGAGCTGATGCCTGAGCCAGGTCTATCTGTTTTCAAGGGCTTCCAAACTGCCTCACTGCACCTCAGTGTGCAGTGGGGTGAGCTGAGATGCCTGGTCCTGATCATGTCCCAGGAACTAGACCAGGTCCTAACTTTCGTAAAGGTTCAGCCCAACGAGGGCTCTGAGAGGAGGAACAGAAGAACCTCCTCCACCCCCAACCCAGCAGCACCCCGGGCCTGTAAGCTTCCCATGACTGCAGCTTGCTGTGCTTAGCAGCCGCTGGGGGTTGAAGTAGCACCCGTCCCACTACTCCACTGCTCTCCTGCTCTCGGGTTGGACAGTCCTTACTGCTGACTCGCCTTCGTCCCTCTGACCCATCCTTTGGTGCACGGCCCAGCCTGGCTTTCCATTTCACTGTGGACTGTGAGCCCAGGCCTGTGCCTCAGTGGCACGCAAGAGAGTCACAGCTAAGTCTGGCTTTTCCCCGTGACCTGGCTCATCACCAGGTCAGTGCGGGGGAGGAAGGGCCGGGACTCTTAGAGGCCTACTCACGTTGCTGCTTCCTCCCGTGACTTACTAGTGTGTTTGCTGTTTTGTTTTTGAAAGGGCTCTTGCTAATTTGCCGAGGCTAGCCTCGAACTAGCTCCAACCCACGACCCTGCTGCCTCAGCCTGCAGAGTTGCTGGGACTGCATGCGCAGACCGCCGAGCCCATCTGGCTTCCCCCATGAGTAGAGACAGAGACCTTGACTCTACCTCCTCCCCTTCCTCCATCCCGGCGTTTCTCATTCATCAGCGGGACTGTGATTCCTCCTCCTCATGGTGGCAGCAAAAATCCAGCCATGCCAAATCAGCGGCACCCACTGACCACAGTTCAGTAATCATCAAGGTCAGCAACTTCCCACCTAGAAGAAGACACAGGGATCGAACCGGGTCTGTGTGTGGTCCAGCTGACTACCTGTGACTTGGGGAAAACTGCTGCCCTCTCTGTGCTGCAGTTTTCTTCCGTGTATAATAGAGATAATAATAGAACTTACCCCAGCTGATTGTGCTGAGGATTAAATGAGCTAACATATGCGAATTGCTTAGAATAATGCCTGGCACGGGGTGGCCCTCATATGTTAGCTGTTCACATCACCATCCACGGAAGCTTTCCTTCTGCGCATTCTTTGTGGTCACTAGGCAATGGATGGTCAGATCACTGACCCAAAATAAATCAACCTTGTCCTGTTAGTTCTCATCGCATAGTAACCAATCAGACTCTTAGAACGGCACTTAGCTCACTTAGCTCCCACTGACGCTTAATTCCAGGTGAACCAGCTTTTCCATATGGTGTCCAAGGATCTGAGCTCCAACAGGGAACAGGCACTTGTAGCAGATTGAATTCTACCTAAAACTCCCTGTGTATCTTTGGATAAATTGACATCCTCTACCCACCCACAATTACATTCAGGTGGCCTAGACTTTTTAATGACCTATATGTATAGGTCATTAAATAGATATTAAAAATTAGAAAGAATAGTCCTTCCTTACAACAATCTGGAATGTGGACCAAAAATAACCCGGTAGACTCCAAAGCCAGGACTTAGCGAGGTACAATAAGTAACCACTGAGCTCTTGCATGATAACCCAAGTGGGGCTTTGAGGCCCCAGGTGGTGACATGCTGAGGCACCTGCGGCTGGCGCTGTCTTGTCTTTGCTGCCTGGGCTGCCGGCCTGCATGCAGCAAGGGGGCGCCCAGAACCCAGGCGGCCGTCCTGGGCTGTGCCCAGTGGCTCTGACTCAGGAAAGCCCAGGGCGGAGCAGGCTGTCCGCGGCCCCAGCACGCGCAAGCCCCTCACTGCGGCCTACTGAAGCCTGCGCTCAGGTGCTGCTGGGGAGCTCTCCGGGGAGCTGACTCAGTAAGCGGCTCCCTCACTGGGAGGAAAGCAGTCCCTGTCCTGTGAAGAGAGCAACTAGTGATACTCCTCCGCAGCCACCAGCCCCTCCTCTCAGCCCGGGAAAAATGAAGATTTTCTTGTGGCCTGTGCTTGCCGAGGACCACCTGCACCCAGGCCACAGCCCCTTTCTGTGCGTGGGGCCCTGGGGGGTGACTTGCCAGCAGGCTGTGTGCTGTGCAGTCAGGGGAGGGTCTTGGGGTTCTGAGCGCAGGCGGGGTGGAGGCGTCACTTTCCCGTCATGCCCCTCGGGGGCTCGCATCCGTGCCTCTGATCTGCTCTCTTTACCAGCAGGTAAATACTACCGCACACCACGAGGCTGTGAAGGGCAGTGAGAAGCGATACGGGAATACGCTGAAAACGGGTGGAGGAAAAGCACTAAACACAATGACTGCAGGCTGACAACGGGAACGTGGGGATTTGGAAGGGGAGGGTGGCTGCAGTGTGACGCTCCCAGGGAGTTTGTGCGTTCCTGGTATTCGGAGGTGGAGCTCTGGGGAAGCAGTGAGGATCCGGTGAGGTCCCAGGGTTGGCCGATCGTGACGTTAGTGGCTTTTCCGGGAGAAAGGGACCCAGCGTGCTCACTTGCTCTCTTTTGCCGTGGGACAGGACGCAGCACGAGGCCTTCGGGGGCCGCCACTCGGGCGCTGACACCCTGCTCTTGGACTTTCCAGACCGTGAGCCAAAAGCACTCTGTTTGCTACAGATCACTTGGTCTCAGATTTTGTTAAAGAAATAGAAAACACAGGCATCAGGGTCCATCAGTCCAACCCAGGAGAAACCGAGACTTGGAAGTTACCCAGCACCCGAGGGTGTTCCCTGGGACGCTGAGGTGGGTTTGTGGACTCGGGAGGAAGGCTGCTGTGCTCCTCTCCTCTCCTCAACCGCTCCTAGGTTTGGAGCCCAAGGCGAGCTGCTCCACAAAGCTGTGGCCCTAACACCCAGCTCTTCTTCTTCCTGACTTTCTTTCTCCTGCTCAGCGTTCTGGCCCCAGACGGGAGCTCAGGGCTGTCGTTTTCCTCCCAGGGCGGCCTCCTCCTGGGGAGAGTCTGAGGTGCAACCGAGGCGCTATTCTCCTGACATAATGGTGTCTTGAGAGAGAAAAAGGAAATGAATGTTAAGTATGGGATTTCAGGCATCAGCAGGGCAGGAGGGAAGGCAGGGCTTTTGTAACACGCACATGTGTGTGCGCACACACACACATACACACACACATACACACACACATACACACACACATACATACACACACACACACACACCAAGCCTCAGCTCTCCAAGGGCACAGAGTACACAGATCTACACCGCTCTCTGGAAAGGCCTGTGCTGGCTCTTTTTTGGGAGAAGACAAGGACGTTGAAGGCCCCTCTGCCCTTCGTCCCTCCCCGCCTCTGCCTTCGTCCCTCCCCGCCTCCAGCCTGGTGCACGGTCTTCCAAGCTAAATTAACGTCTAATGAGCTTCTGTCTTCACCCAGCAGCCCCTCGCAGGTGGCTGACCTGGGCAGATGCAAAGGGCAGCGGCTTCCTCCGTGCTGAGGGCACAGCACTCACCGGGGCTCCCTGCCCCGAGCGCTGGCCCCAGGGCAGATGACGTTTACAGCCTGGCAGAGCGCGCTAGGCTGAGCCCTGGGCACCGTGGGGCAGCTGAGCCCACCGCCTCAGCCTGCGGCCTGCGAGCCGGCATTCCTGAGTCAGAGAGCATCCAGGCTGGTGTCGGCTTCCCCCACCTTGGCTCAGGACCGCTCTGTTTGCTCGGGAAGGGACTGTCTTCCCAACTGCCTCCTGAGTCAAAACATTCCACTCCTGTCTCCCTCTCCGCAGTCCGGCCCTGCCAGGATTCCTGTCTGAATTCCTCTTCATTAATAGCGATGGGCTCTACACCCGGAAGTTCCCGAGCGTTCATTTCAATGGATAATGATTGTTTTTGCAGGAGGGGCCCCGATGGTTTTTCCGTTTCTGTTTCCATAATGTGTACCGAAATCCACACTTCATTGAAAGCAGATGGTGAGAGCGTCCTTCGACGTGCAAGAGGATACTCGGGCAGGGGCGCCTCGAGTCTGCCTGCCCCCCGGGCAGCTGTGGCCTGGGTGCAGCAGTGCGAGGGCTGAAGGTGAGGGAAAGAAGCGGGACACCTGGGTGACGGAAAGCAGAAACAGTGGGCCTGAAGTGTGTGTGTGAGAGAGTCAAAGAGAAGGAAAGCAGAAAGCCAGTGGAAGAGACGGAGTCAGTCTCTCCAAGTCTCATTCCCACGTCTGGAGTCTGACAGTGTCAAATTCTTGGGAAAGTAGTGTATGAGAAGCAGCCGCCCCTGCAGAGGAAATTGGTGCTAAAGTCTCAGCTTCAGAGCCCCAGGCCTGACCCTTCTGCTCATCCGCCTCCGAGGCTGTAATGAAAAGCATATTCTCCACTGTATCTTTCCCAAGAACATAAAATTGACTTTTCTGTCTCCAAAAAAGGCAAAGAGAGGGCTTGCTGCTTCCCAGGCTGCCTGACAAACAACCGTCACCCCCAAGCCTGGTGTGACAAGCAAGAAGCCCCGGCCAGGGCCCGGGCCAGCACCGTCCTGCATGGCCCAGAGGTTCCATGGGACGGCGACGAGCCCCTCGGCTCCAAACCTCCGGAATGCACACCTGGGCTCTGCTTATGCTATGGACTCATGGATGACTGTTGCCCATCAAAACCACTACCCTGGTGGTCGTGCTGGATGGAAGTGGCGAACACCCAGCTTCCTGTGATGGATTAGAGCTGGATGCCCCCCAACAGCCTTACGTGTTCAGAGGTGGGGGTTTGGAGGTGACTGCATCACGGGGGTGCTATGCTCACCAGGGGATTCATCCACTAAGGAGTTTAGGGCCGAATGTGCTGTTAGGAGGTGGAGTCTAGAAAGCTGTGTCTCCCCCGGCTCCTCTCTGCCCTCTCTGCTTCCTGCCCGCCACGACATGAGCAGCTTCCCTTCCCCAGACCCTGCCCCCAGGCCCTTCCTGTCCGAGAGCCAGCTCGCTCTCTATGGCCTGATCCTCTACCAACCGCGAGCCAGAACAATCCTCTGTTCCCTTAAGCTCCTTTGGGTATTTGTCCCAGGAACAAGAAAGGAGCTAAGACACTCCCTGAGGCAGTGAGTGAACACGCAGGGCCTCGGTGCTCGCCCCAAACCTCAGCGTGGCTGTTCCATGGGGTGGGGACCCCACCTGCAGGTTGAGGATCCCAGCTGGAGGTTGGACTCTACTGTCCAGGGATAATCTGATCCAATCTGGCGCCTCTTCCTCAAACATTTTTTCTGTTTTTAGTGTGGGACTAAGGTGTCTCTCACAAAATAAAAACTCATCTAAGGAACGAGAGTCTACCTGCCAAGGAACCAGACTCATTGCCAAAGGCCGGGAGAGGGCAGAGGTGACTTGAACGGTGAGGGTGTGAGCTCAGCCTGTTGTTGATCTGTCAGTCAGTTTGCTGGATCCAGCTCCCTGTGGGCTATGGTCAAGTCCCCCTGGGAGAGGAGCCTGATACGCCTGGACCAGGCTGTGTCCAGTGAACTGCGCCCAGGCTAACGGAATCCAGCAGAGAGGAGAGACGATCCGGCCACCCAGGAGGCAGGACAGAGCAGACATGGCCTGGAAGTGGTCTCCAGCGCATCTGTAGGACCTGGGAGGGAGCTCCGGAAGGGCAGAAGCACAGCTTGGCAGGGAAGTGGGGTGGAGGCCGGGGGACGGAGGCTGGGGCGGGGAACCGGCCGCACACTGTGCAATACAGCAACTCTGTAGATAAGAGAAGCAACCGCGCTCTCACACTGCTCTTAGGCGGAGGGGGAGTTCAGCTGCTGGACAGCTTAGGAAAAATAGATTTTGAGGTTGCTGGATAGATTGGTGAGGTTACTGAAACTTTCTGGAAGTCTTCAAAAGGCTGAGTGGATGGAGGCCCCCAAAGCAACCCAGGCACTGTAGTAGATCAGCGTACACGGCACTCCCAGCGTTCCCACCTTTCAGACGGCCTTGGCGGGTGCCCCACGGCACAGCACACCCTGTCCTGTTAGGACCAGTTACTAATCTGGTTCGATCCCCCCTCACTCAGGAAATCCAAGCAGACAGCAGCAGCTCCACCCTTTCGGGGGTCTGGGGTGAATGAAAATCCAGACACCGAAGAGCGCTGAGCTTCGGTGAGCAGATGTGCTCTCAAGATTGCTGAAGGCCTCCTTGA